CCCCAAAACCCCAAAACCCCAAAACCCCAAAACCCCAAAACCCCGAATGCTTTACTTTTAATTGGAAGTTTAGATATATTTTGTAAAAATAAAAATGGGCTGTGGATCATCATCAGGTACCTCCCCAGTAACGGTTTCTCCACTCACAGAGAAAGTACTACCTCTTCGTGAACAAAGCAAGGAAGAAATAACTGAGCTAGAGAGGCTCTGAAAAGAGTTACTTGAAATGAAGAAAGTGAAGTTCAATTTTGACTTTGAAATCACACTTGACATGAAGGAAGACAACCACAAAAAGTTTATTGGTAAGCTTGCAAGGGTATTAAAGAAGTTTCGAATTAAAAATAGCTAGTTTAACCCTATTTTAGAGCAAACATCTGACAAAGAGTTCCCTTCATTCGGTAAACTTGTGCTAAAATAATGTGGGGAAATTATCACCTGATGAAAGAGGTTATTTTAACGAGTTTCTTCATGGAACGACTCCTGTGCTTCCAAATTATATGGAGCACTTTGTTTTTCAAGGAAACGAGACAATGGTCATGTATTTTATCGATAAGTTAATACATACTCTCGAAGTAGTATCTCAATCAATCTCTATTAGCGACTTTGTGATCGATGAAGCTTCCTTATCTAGAATTTTCGATGCTTCTTACAAGGTTTGCAGATTAAAATTGGAGAACTGAAAATTGAGCATAAAAAGTATCTTAAGTCTTGAAGAAAATCAAGAAAATATGTCTCAGGTATGTTAACTCCTAAATTATTAGAACTCTCAAGACCAAAATGAAACAGGAAGGAAGCCAATACTGAGATCTCTCTCAATTGGTAAATTTAAAACTGTTAAAGAGATATCCTTGCTAGCCCAGAGCTTAGGAACTACCAAGATCACAAGCACTTTAAATACAGTTTTTGTACAGTGCGAGGAAGAAGTTACTACAGATAAGGTCAATAAGATTTTTAATGAGTGGGGATTTTCACTTAGCTAAAATAGTTCGTTTAGCTTCAAGTATGAAGTGAGGAAGTGGGGTTTTGGGGTTTTGGGGTTTTGGGGG